CTACGGCCAAGCTATGTCCCTGCACCGCAAGTGAATTAGTTCCAGAAAATTACCTCTATTTACATCACTGCTATTACTTATTATTTTACTTATTATTATACTATTATTATTATTATTATTGTTATATTACTTATTATTTTATCTTTGTATTTATTTTCCTTTAAATGCATTGTTTGAGTTAATTTGACTGATACTAATATTTATATATATATATATATATTTACTTACTTATCCTACCCGTATATATAATGTATTATTGATACGTATGATTATTCATACTAGGACACGTATATATTTTTAGCTGTTTATTAGTAGATAGCAGGTTCACATCAGCATTAGCTGCCATTTCCTCAACCTGCTTTACCAAATAAAGGATGTATGTATGTATGTATGTATGTATGTATGTATGTATGTATGTATGTAACACAATAATTATCTGTATCACTTCATGCGAATAACACTTAAAAATCCAACCAGTCTTCAGACTCGCTGGAAAAGGATCTTACAGAATTAATCTCCTGCTTTGTCTGGATAACTATCGCTGTTTTTGACAACTCTGAAGGCGAGGGCGACCGAAGAACCAAGATCGCGCTTCGTAACTGGACGGCCAGCCTAGGTCAGCAAACAGTACACAACTCCAAACAAAATGACTCCCCTATACCGCTATTTGTTAAGACGTGGTTTTAGTTCATCGAAATCAGTCTACAAAAATATTGGAAGCACTTGGCAGCCTAAAGTTGATGACCACTGACCAGTTACTGTGACGTCATAAAAACGTATTTCCGCGTTGCCCGTAATGACAATTAGTCTAGACTACAGCTCTGAGCGGACTAAATCGGTAAAGCCGTAATACTGTGATGTCTAGAGCGTGGATTACCTTTCTCGCGGCATTTGCCGTTGCGCTGCTACTTGGTGTATTTTATACACTCATTCACAGTAAAACAAGCTCTCCTATCGTATCTACTTACTTGACAAACTCGAACCTACGGGTTTTGAAGTCCTCGAATGACACCAACACTGCTGATTCGGTCGTGGAGATAAATACGAAAGAAATTAACTGGAAAGAAATCCCTCGCCTGCCATCGCCTCCAAAAGGAGAATTTCACGACAAATGGATAGTTTTGACCACCATTAATAGTCCTACAGCAGATGTGAAGAAGTTGGCAGGTATAAAAGGCTGGAAAGTTGTAGTTGTGGGTGATACTAAAACGCCGGCAGATTGGAGGTAAACTATTTCGCTTTTAACTTCTTCTTGGGAGTTTTAATATCTTGTGAATACAAGCTTTGACGTGGCAATAGGAAATTCAAATTATAATAACTCATTTGCACTATAAATATTTGCATGGTGGAATTCGTATTTGTATCATTTTCTTTCGTGGGAGCGCAATGAAGTTAAGAGGGACAATTTAATGAAAATAACGTTACTTTAGGCAACGAAGGTACTCTAAATTCTTGTGTGATTATTTTGGACTTGATTAATACGAAAATGTAAAAAGCTGTTTGCAACACATAAATCAAGAATCCCTGGACAGCAACGAATATGGCAAGTGAAGAGCAAGCGAGTCGATGGGGACATTTTGTTATAGGACTAGTTCCAAACGGTCGCAGTCGTTCTGCCATCTGATTGGTGCCAGAAAATCTTTATGTTTTTCTGCCCAATCAGAGTGAAGTGTGCTTTGGAGTCCTTTCGTGTGTTGTAACACGGACATATACAAGAAGCTCTGTTGCTCGCTATGTTTGTTTGAGCTGTGCAATGAAGTTTTGCCCGTAGTGAAAAGTATTAGTCTCAGCACACAATGTAAGAGAAATCGATCAGATTGTCTGCGAAAATCTTACTGGTAATTATACTGAATACTTTTGCAAGTATCACAAGGGAATGTGTTTAAGAGCCAATAATATACATGAAAAAATTTCTCAGTTCTGATTGGTTAAGATGATTGCAGTTTTCAGTTAATTCAGTGCAGAAGAGAGTTAATTCAGTGCAGAACACGTTAAATCAGTGCAAAGAAAGAAAGAAACCAGACATTCTGATTGGTCAGAATGATTGGTGAATGTCAATTCGCCCTTATCACGCCACCGCCATCTTGGATTACGTCAGCGGAAATCTGACACGAAAACAAGGTCACACGTCGTAAACAAAACATGGCATCGTGTCAAACATAGAAAAACATTTGAATTTTGGCATAGAAATTTAATAAATATTCCACTTCTTTCAATGATTCGATTATAAAATATGCAAAAGATTACCTCCCTGTCCAGGAGACACTTACTCGAGGCAATCAAGTTTTTTAACAAAGAGTTTATTCATGAAATAGAAGGTAGGCTTCTAGCTTCCAGTGTTTGTTGTAGTCGGAGTGACATCCGTCTTTATAGGTTTGTTCTTGCATTAGTCCGACTATGAATTAATTTGATATATTCAAATAATAATTGTAATGAAAATGGTCAAAGATGCTGATTTAGCATAACAGTTTGAGCGAGATGCGACCATAGCAGGAGAAAGAACGAGGAACCTCATTCATTGTCAGTTGTTTTTAAGCGCTCATCTACAGTTGAAATAGTTAGAAATGATTGCAGTTTTGTGTATTGCCAACAAGAATTTCATTGCGAGAGAATTTACTTTGACAGAGAGTTTTTTTCAGAAATGCAAGGAAAACTGCACCTTTATTATTTTAACTATCACCCTCCATCATGTATCCAATAAAAAAGTACTTTATTACAAAAATATTTATTTTGCAATTGACATTATGTCAACTACATGAACCAGGAGTTAGGCTGGGTTAAACAGAAAATTATATTATATTTCAACCATATATATGAGTATCTAACAAAGAGAACAACCTCTTTTGCTCTTGCTAACAGTGTGAAAGTGTCCCAATAAATCTTATTTTGAACTTTAAAATCACTGATTGTTTATGATCACTTATAAAATAAGGGTCCTTGAAAATTAGTTGTTAGGCAAGCTACTGTCCACATTTGGTTAATACTTACAGCTACAGTGAGGGGAATTATCCTATCACAAAA